ACGCCTGTCCCGACCTCCCCGAGAGGCTGGGTGCTGGGCGGACCGGACGCCCGTCCCGACCTCCCGGAGTGAGGCTGGGTGCCGGGCGGACCGGACGCCCGTCCCGACCTCCCGGAGTGAGGCTGGGTGCCAGGTGGACTGGACGCCTGTCCCGAGAGGCACTTTGCAGTGATGTTCCCTCCCCCCCCAGCACCCGGCCCTGCTCACTTCTGTGTGGATTTGTTCTTGAATGTGCTGCTGTGTAAACTCAACATGACACTTCTTATTTATTTGGTGGCTGCTAAGCCTCGACAGCTGTCTGCCGGCCCTGCGGGCTCTCTGAGCCGTCACATGGCCCAGGCCCCCCTGTTCCCTCCAGGTCGGAGCCAGGCGAGGGGCAGCGAGGGGCACAGCACGTCCACGCTGCGCTCTGCTCCACAGCTTGCCTTCTGCTTCTGGGGAGTGGGGAGCGGGTGAGGGTCTCACCTGGCTCCACCAGGCCTAGGAAACAGAACCTGGGGTGTCCCTTCCAGCCCCGAGGAAAGCCTGGCCGTGTCCCCACGGGGAGCGGAACGGCGGGGCCCTGAACAGCAGAATAAAGCCTGTGTTGGAACCACTGTCTGTTCCTCCTGCCTCTGTTTAAAGGAAGGCCTTTCTCACGGCCCCGAGGACAGGTCTGCCCTGCGCCGAGTTCCACGCCGGTGCAGTTTGCATTACAACGAGCAGAACCGACGCAGGAGTTGGCGAGCCTGCCCGTGAGCAGGCCTGGCACCGCCTCCAGGCCGGGCCCTGCCTCATGGCCTGACCGCCCGGCTAGCCCGCAGTCTGCCATGTCTGAAACGCACGTGGTCGCAATTATCTGTGAAACCAATCGCTGGTGAAATAGCGCGTGCGTGGTCCCTGCGGTTTGTGAAACCATGGCCTGTGGTCAGTGCCGGACAGCGTCACGTCGTCCTGTTTATCCTGCAGCCCCACATCCCTGGGCGGTGTGGGGGTGAGGTTAAAGGTCAGCCCCACCTCCTCTCTGATCCTAAAGATTTGAGGCCACTAAATGCTTCACAGGTCAGCTTCACCCCCCAGACTCACCACTAACTGTGGGGGGCGGGGGGCTGGCACTTCCTGAGCAAACAGGTGACCTCTGTCCTAACCCCGTGTGAGGGAAGTGCACTGACAGCCACGAACCAGCCACAGGAGAGAAACAGGCTCGGGGAGGAGGCCACGCCAGCCACATGTTAGCAGCAGAGCCGCGTGGAGGAGGCGGCCTGTCCCCTTCCCCGGGGCCCGCTCCGTGCTGGGCAGAGCCGCCTGCGCTTGGACGGGCGGCTGGGCCCCTGAATATTGCCCGGGTTGGGCTTTGGACCCCGGATTACACTTCTGCCTCCTTCACAAACCCCGGCATGACCAGCAGCCACTCAGTCCATCCCCGGGCCTCTGTCCAACCTGGGAAACAGGAAGTCGGAACGCCTGTCCCGACCTCCCCGAGAGGCTGGGTGCTGGGCGGACCGGACGCCCGTCCCGACCTCCCGGAGTGAGGCTGGGTGCCGGGCGGACCGGACGCCCGTCCCGACCTCCCGGAGTGAGGCTGGGTGCCAGGTGGACTGGACGCCTGTCCCGAGAGGCACTTTGCAGTGATGTTCCCTCCCCCCCCAGCACCCGGCCCTGCTCACTTCTGTGTGGATTTGTTCTTGAATGTGCTGCTGTGTAAACTCAACATGACACTTCTTATTTATTTGGTGGCTGCTAAGCCTCGACAGCTGTCTGCCGGCCCTGCGGGCTCTCTGAGCCGTCACATGGCCCAGGCCCCCCTGTTCCCTCCAGGTCGGAGCCAGGCGAGGGGCAGCGAGGGGCACAGCACGTCCACGCTGCGCTCTGCTCCACAGCTTGCCTTCTGCTTCTGGGGAGTGGGGAGCGGGTGAGGGTCTCACCTGGCTCCACCAGGCCTAGGAAACAGAACCTGGGGTGTCCCTTCCAGCCCCGAGGAAAGCCTGGCCGTGTCCCCACGGGGAGCGGAACGGCGGGGCCCTGAACAGCAGAATAAAGCCTATGTTGGAACCACTGTCTGTTCCTCCTGCCTCTGTTTAAAGGAAGGCCTTTCTCACGGCCCCGAGGACAGGTCTGCCCTGCGCCGAGTTCCACGCCGGTGCAGTTTGCATTACAACGAGCAGAACCGACGCAGGAGTTGGCGAGCCTGCCCGTGAGCAGGCCTGGCACCGCCTCCAGGCCGGGCCCTGCCTCATGGCCTGACCGCCCGGCTAGCCCGCAGTCTGCCATGTCTGAAACGCACGTGGTCGCAATTATCTGTGAAACCAATCGCTGGTGAAATAGCGCGTGCGTGGTCCCTGCGGTTTGTGAAACCATGGCCTGTGGTCAGTGCCGGACAGCGTCACGTCGTCCTGTTTATCCTGCAGCCCCACATCCCTGGGCGGTGTGGGGGTGAGGTTAAAGGTCAGCCCCACCTCCTCTCTGATCCTAAAGATTTGAGGCCACTAAATGCTTCACAGGTCAGCTTCACCCCCCAGACTCACCACTAACTGTGGGGGGCGGGGGGCTGGCACTTCCTGAGCAAACAGGTGACCTCTGTCCTAACCCCGTGTGAGGGAAGTGCACTGACAGCCACGAACCAGCCACAGGAGAGAAACAGGCTCGGGGAGGAGGCCACGCCAGCCACATGTTAGCAGCAGAGCCGCGTGGAGGAGGCGGCCTGTCCCCTTCCCCGGGGCCCGCTCCGTGCTGGGCAGAGCCGCCTGCGCTTGGACGGGCGGCTGGGCCCCTGAGGATTGCCCGGGTTGGGCTTTGGACCCTGGATTACACTTCTGCCTCCTTCACAAACCCCGGCGTGACCAGCAGCCACTCAGTCCATCCCCGGGCCTCTGTCCAACCTGGGAAACAGGAAGTCGGAGCTTAGTCAGTGGTTTTCAAAACTTCATAGCAATGCAACCTCCTTAAACACTCAACGCCCAGGACTCCAGTCCGAAGTGGGAAAGGTGCTCTGTAAGTTCAGGCGCAGCAGGCGCAGCGGATGAGCCGGCCGCCGCTCCACGGGAATCCCACTCGGACTCAGCCCTGCGACCTGGGGCGAGAGGGCGTGCTCCCAGGCCTCTGCTTCCTCCGCTGTGAATTAGGGACATAGCAGCACCTGCCGCGGTTGTTTAGGCTCAGATGAGTTCACTTCCTTGCAGGGTGGTGAGAATGGGGCCAGGCCCTAGTAAATGCTCACCAAACATGGGATTTTTAAAAGGCGTTAAATACTCACGGAACTTCAGAACCTTCTAGCTTCTTAGAAACTTAAACTTTGTGTGAAAATAACCCTGTTTAGAGTGGAGCTGATCAGAGTGGCCTAATCCAGGCAGAGGGCGGGGTGCCCTATGGCGCTGTCTGCACCCGCCCCCATGCACCCCGGGAGGCACTGTCCGCCCTC